AAATTCAGGATCCTCTAGGTGGCAGGTCCAAGTAAAATGCAGTGCCCTGTTAATGAGGCCATATTGGAACCTGGCAAAACAGTTTGCCATACTCTTAGCCATATGTACACCTACCCCCAACATGGCAGAAAAATATATATTTTGTTCAATCTAAAGGGTCATTGTTTTCCTACCTTATATCAAACTCTTTGGCAGTCCAGGCTGCTGCTGAATGCAGCAGATTGCACCAGTCTGAGTCTACATATTCTGACAAGGAAGCCAAGAAACTGGACCTCCTAGGAAGAAAAAGTTTCCTTTCTACTAGCCTACAATCCCACATTCCAAACAATCAGGCACTCGCATACAAGTATAACTTTATTAACGATATCAAATGGACAAAGTTTACAAACCCGGACTTCCAGACACTCAGGTCTCAGTTTTCAAGTAATCCTCAGTGACGGCAAACTCATTGCTAAGTCCTCTGTTCACGTGTTGCTAGAGGCGGTAGATGTGGCCTCTCACTCCATGGCAACTTTGGTCATCCTGCTGCAGGCTTTGTGGCTTCACTTCTCTGGGTTCTCCAAGGAAGTTCAAGTTACACTGGATGACTGGGAAAACAATTGATTGAGGGAAAAGAGGGATGAGTTGTTACACATTGAAAGACTCCCAAGAAACCCTTTACTCCTTGAGAATATACATCCTGGTGCCATAAAGGAGGTATGCTGCACCTCCTTCCTATTGGTAGTTCCTAGTTCCTCAAATCTTCTACCATCACAGGATGTATAAAACCTATCAGGAAGTGTTAAAATGTCTATTGACGCCCCATTTTCACTTCCAACTAACTCCCACTATTTCACCAAGAAATCATTTTGATTGGACTTCTGAGAGCTGTCAACCAGTTTTCTCATTGCTGGATAAACTCACCCCTGTCAATGGCCACCTAGCCCATTTTCACTTATGTGTCATTAAATCACAGTGGATAGATAGACTCTAGAAATCATCTTTGGGACACTCTATAGAATTCCAACTCCCCCACTCCCTAAAAAAAACCCCTTCCCTCCTCAATAGACGCTGCTTGTGAATCACTCACAGTTAATACCCATTGGGACTACCACTCAAAGGAGAAAGAATGGTTATTTTCCTATTGTAACTAGAGTTGTTTTTTTGCAATGTACGGTTCCTATGGGTATTCCATGATGCACACTTCCCCTCTGCTCAGATCCTTTCCTAGAGTGATTCATGGTAGAGAAGGAACTGAAGAGGTGATTGGTCTCTACTTGCTTTTATGCTCTTGATTCAGAGAACAAGAAGGTGCAGGACATAACCACAGAACAATGGAAACTGCCATTGAAGAATCATCACGTCTTTGACATATGTAGTGAATACAAACCCACAGCAAAAACCAGTAGGATCCCCAGTTACTATTAGGTCAATAACCTTTCTTTCCCTCACACCAGCTACATAACCACTGTTACAGATATCCTAAGAGAGGACAGTTTGTTCTTAGAGGTCATACAAAGATAGTAATTCTCCCCTTGCAACAAATAGGCACATAGACTGAAAGTTCTGCTGTGACATGACAATTACTTCAGCTGTTTATACTTTACAACTTTTCAATAGTACAGATAACTCTCATTGACCTTAGCCTTGTAATCACTTTTTCTTATATTACAAAGGTTACTATCTAGCACCCAACTAGCCAAATGAAATGTATGGCTTGATTAAGGATCTCTTTTGTCAGTAATTTGTGCCTAATGTTTTTAGCTTTCCCACGGGCTGTTATAGAAAATGGTAAATCTGGTTTAAATGAAACCTGATACTGTTAATGGTTTAATAGCAGCTGCCACAGGGTTATGGCATTTTTCAACAGATGCTTCTGTTTCTTTTTTAAGCCTACACAAAGTCTTAGAATATATTTACATAATTAATGTAAAGTACACCTCCATAATGATAGTTTTTATAGTTTTAAGAGATTTCCTTACATTATTTATAACATGAAACAGAAAGGCAAATCTCAATATTTTAATATAATAATTAATATTCTCCCTTTAAGAAAATTCATGATGTATACCATGACTGTAGACATATCTCTTGCAAAGATTTGTAATGTGTATAAGTAGAGCCCTTCATTTCTTTAGAGGCAGAAAAAAGAGCCTTTTAGCTTGCTTGTAGTCCATGCTTATTATGTAGTCTTCAATACAAGCTAGAAAAAAGAATCAATGCCAATATATTTTAAAAAATGAGTGGAACTTGCTTCATCAAATGTGGTTAGCTAAATGTCCTTGGATAAAAATTATTGAAATATTTAATGGTGGACATGGTACACTGACTATTGAACTTCATCTGAGTGAAGAAATTCATACTTGTTTAAAGTATTATGGGCACAGTATTATTTACATGAAGATTTTCAAAAGTTACTGGTGGTTTTAGATATCTTCTTTTTTGAGTCCCCAACTTGAGACACTTACAAAGGGCTTGGCTTTCAAAAAGTACTGAAGTTATGTCATATTGAACACCTCAAAATTGGGACACTCAGCTACACTGGGCATCCCTGAAAATCTTGTCCTCATCAAAGTATATACATGTGCCCTTGAGGGAGAAAAGGAGGGAACAGTGAGTCTCTCTCTTTACTTCAGTGAGGGGCAACCTAGGCTAATGAGTGGACCACATGTATTGCCCTCCTTCTTTGTTAGTGGGCTGCTAGATTGTTGTGATCAAGAGGGACTCCTGTGATAGGATAATTTTGTTAACTGCATTTGCATACCTAAAGTTTGTGGGGTGTGCTGACTGAACCATAGCTGATTAGATTCAGAGGGAGCACATGGCTCTCCCAATGTTCACTTCATGTGCCCTTACTTTACCTGTATGTTACTTTTGTAATTCTGGTAGGAAAAAAACTACATGGACAAAAACCATCAGAATCTGGCCACCATGTGTGTGGGTAATGGTGAATAAAACGTCTCGTTGCCCACACATAGAACCCCAATTGGCCAAATGGGGCCCTTAGGCCACAGGTTGCCCACTACTGTTCTACCTGTTTTGGACAGCATGGGCTGGGTAGAGTAGCAGTCCTTACACTCAGTCCATACAAAACCTCCACAGAACAAGTGTTGCCACCATCATTAACCTTTGAAAAGGGGGCAGTAGTAGAGGGAGGGCATTCAAATATGGCAATTATGAGTGCTAGTTTAATACTCTAATGTGTATGGAGAGAAGTAGGGAGAAAGGGAGAGAGAGAGATGGGGCTTGGACCCCTGTTTTATATCATCCAGCACAACTGCTTAAGAAAAGAGGGGCACTAGGGTATCCACTTCCAAAATTGTGCGGTTGCCTTGTTCCCCTTGTAGTCTTCAGAATCCTGGGTAACATCATGTGGTGGGATGCTGGCCATCATACTTTTGATCAGAGAGAAGGTGGAAATGGGAAATAGGGTTGAAGTACAAAAATAACAGAACATCCATGATGATCCTGAGCCCCTAAAACTAGATAGCTGATAATTTGTACTGAGCAGCATTTCCAATTTCCCAGGACAACCACCGCCCCTTCTCTCCTCTCCTCCCCCCCAAAAAAGGACAATCTTGGAAACACTTAGGGCAGGTGGCAACCCTAGACGTTGGGTGGTGACATTACAGCCCCTAGGGTTTTTTGTTTCTTTTTTTTTTCTAAAATAAAGTAACGGTCCTGTTGAACAGAAGCAAGATCAAACCTTAAATTTCTTCAGTAACATGGTAAAAATTGTGTCATAGGATCAGAATTTCTTTTCTGAATGTAAATTGCTCCACAAAGGAAAAGAGATTTAAATGTATTCATTACATGAGGGATATTGCTTCATCCTTGATTTGCAGGTCTTGTCATGGGAACCCAACATTTGCTGGGGCTCTGTGGCTACAGTAACTTTTTATATCTCTCCAATATGATGAGAATAGATTTGGCCAGTCCATGAAACATAAAATTACAATTACCAGTAATTACCAGTACAATTACTGTTGGTAGGATGGAACTTTACTGCCCCCACAGTCCTTAATGACCCGCTGCTCTGGAACTAAGATGCCTCATTAGATTGATTCCCAATTTTTGTTAGAGAGAATAGGCTGCAGCTTGCTTCCTTGCCAATATAATTCCTATGAGTGGATTAGGAAGAATTTAAGACTCCACCCCTTAGACTGAGGCAGGCTTTACTTAGTGGATACAATGGAGAAGTCTGAACAGATGAATTCTCCTAAGCTACATAGGCCAAGAGCCACACAGAATATATCCCTGAGGGGAATTTGTGTAGACCCGATGAGAGCCCTACAAGAAAATCAGAGATTACTCAGATTCACATATAATTTTTAAGTGTTCTGTTGACTCTATTAGCTGGTATTGAATAATAATGAAGGATTTTCAGTGCTTATTTTTAAAAAATCAGATAAAAAGGCAGGAAAAGAGACATTACAGC